CGCCCCCCCCCCCCCGCCCATACATCCGATACCACGGTTCCGAGCTCACCACTAACTCAACAACCCCGCGCAGTTTTTTCATGCCGACATTGCTTTTAATACTCGATCGCGTCCCTCTCGCTCCCTGCCTCCTTCCCTCTTTCGTTCATCTCATTCTCCCTCTCTCACCCGCTCACTCGCGGTTAATATATAGCGGCCGAGCGGACAACACGAGGTCACCTATCGTGCCCGCGTCGTTAACGTTAAGAACGTTTAATCTTAACAAAGCCATGCTCCTCCACGAGGAATATCAAAGGACGGAGCTCTGCTCGTAAACATTTCCTTTACAGAACGTCGATCGAAATACCGAAATGTTCGGCCGTAATACATTGTAAGGTAACTAGCTATCGTTATTTTACGAGCGCAATGTTCGTTCGGTCCTTTTCAAGCACGAGAGGTAAGTAAGTGAAGTGCATTTTGATGCGTAAATTACGTTGTATATCGAGCCTCGTGATGTTGCGGTCAAAATGCATCCCGATTCGAACAACTCGACTCCCCGAATGGCTGTGTACAGTTTATCGATTCCAAAGTAAAAGTGAAATGCCGCGTTTTAGCCAAACGGCACTCTGCGAATACGAGTAATTAAAGAAGGCAATTATCGAGATAGCGGAGCAAAGGAGTAAGCGTTAAATCCAGCCCAGAAAACCGATAAGTGAGTCATCAGCGAGCTGGTGCCATCATTAGCAACGCTCTTCTTGATCTTGTTCCTCCTCCTCCTCCATCTCTCTCTCACTCTCTCTCTCTCTCTCTCTCTCTCCCATCGCCCCCCTCTAGCGTTTCGAGGCGCCTTCACCCTCTCGTTCGCTCGACCCCTAAGTCGCGCACATTCAACGGCACCGCCCATCCAAATAAGTGAAATTCCAGACATGATCACCACCCTCCCTGCGCTGTCCCTCTCGTCAAGACTTCGATCCCGATCCCGTCAGCCCGCCCCGAGGTCTTGTTTCCCCTCAGCGGGGGCCGATAAGTGAAATGCAGTGTAATACGCACCAGGGTTGGGCGCTACGTCGTGATACGGCGGCAGCTTGTCCAGCTCGAGGGGCGGCCTATCTGGTATGACGGCAAGGCCAACGGACGCCGTACCCACGACGACTCCCCCGCCGGGGTTGCCGGCGTCCTGGTCCCCAGCGCGTTCCAGTGCCACACTGCAGCAGCTCGCTGCACGTGAAAATCGGGGAGAGCGTTAACCACCGAGGCATCACATGCACGCGCTCAGAAAAAGATGAGGGGGAAAGAGACAGAGACAGACACAGACAGAGGGATAGTGAGAGACAGAGACAGAGATATAGATATAGATAGAGATAGGGATAGAGATAGAGATAGAGATAGACAGAGAGAGAGAGAGAGATAGACAGAGAGAGAGAGAGAGAGAGAATGTGTGGCCTTCGGTACATAATAATGCCGAGGATCCACGTCCGTCCCTCAAATTCAGCGGTACACTGGCGGGCAAAAGTCGAGGACCTACCGGACCACTCGCTCGACTCCGGACTTCGGCGGTGGCGCACTTGTCCATACTTTTGACCGCTAGTGTACGCGTACACGCTCATAATCCCGTGGCGGCTTCATTGTGTCTCTGTCATAGCGGCGCGTCACGGGGCTTTCAGCCGGTCCTCGTGTGCATCTCCCGGCGGACGGCGAGTGGGAGTGGCGCGGTGGCGAAAATAAAGCGAATATACCACAGCCTGTGACGTATACGCGTACGTATAAAAAAAAACAAGAAAAAAAAAATAATAAAAGAAAGAAAAGATGAAGGGAGAAAAACGAAAAAAAGAAAGAGTATCGTGGGGAGGGAGGGCAGAAGCGAATTTCACTTTTTCATCGAGCCGTCGGTCTCTCTTACCGGCCGCATCCACCTCTCCCGTTCTTTTGCCTCGTCTCCCCCGGCTGCCGTCACTTTTTGCGCCGATCAAAGCGCGCCTCTCCTCGATGCAGACCTTCCGCGGAGCGCTGACAGGCTTCTCAATGGCGATTTTCCCGTGTGAGCGCTCCTTAATTATCGAGAACCCCGTATCCCATCGGCCCTTGTAATTCGACAATGGCAACCAAGGTCGCGCACTAACGTCATAACGCACCACGAATCATAATGCGCGAAGGTTTTTGTACCCCATGAGCCCTTTCCGCCCCTCACGCTGTCGACAACGACATTACAATGATGATGATGACGATGATAATAATAATAATAATAATAATAATAATAATAATAATAATAATAATAATAAAAATAATAATAATATGCATAATAATAATGATAATAATATGCATAATAATAATGATAATAATAATAATACGACGATGAAGAAGAGAATAGTAGAAGAAGAAGAGGAAGAAGAAGAAGAAAAAAAAGTAACAGTGAAAATGTTCGGTGGTACCGACAGCGACGATAGAGTATTAATAATCATAATAGTCATAATAACAACAACAATTACAACGATAATAATATTTAAACGTAATAATGATAATTATTATCACTGTTGTTATTGTCATTATTGTTATTATTGTTGTTATTATTGTTATTGTTGTTATTATTGTTATTGTTGTTATTATTGTTATTGTTGTTATTATTGTTATTGTTGTTATTATTGTTATTGTTGTTATTATTGTTATTGTTGTTATTATTGTTATTGTTATTATTATTATTATTATTATTATTATTATTATTATTATTATTATTACAATTATCATTATTAATAATAACCACGACGACGACAAAGCGATCATAATAAGAGAGGCAGCCTTGCGCGTCGCATCTGCGCCCTTTCTTCTGTCTGGCCGTTTTTTTTTTTTCTTTTCTGCCATTGTCTTACTAGGCTGGGCCTCCGCTCTCTTTTATGATTGCGATGACAGCTCGCGTTATTGTGCGGATACTCGAACCCGTTCGATTCATGCCCGTGAGATCGGCGCTCCATCCGACCGAATTATTATTGTTGCGCGATCATCGCGCATAGCCTCGGCACGGCGGCTCGAGATGCGGGATTGACGTGCGACGGTGGTAGTGACGGTGGTGATTCTGACGGTGGTGTTGATGGTAGTCGCGGTAGCCGCGTGCCTGCGCCTGACACCCGGGGCACGAGGACGTCGCGTTAAATGGATAAGGGGATGCCGCGGGTCGAGCACTACTCACCTCTGCCACCGGCGCTCTTGAGCCTCCGACAATGGAGGAGCGTGACCATCACGACGGCGCCGATGCCCGCCGAAATTAGCGAGACTATCACCAGGGTGAGGACCCAGCCGAGCTCGCCAGGTGCTTCTGAAACGGACAAAAGGAAGAAAAAATCAAGTCATGTCACGGATCTCGGCGCAATGTTATGCCGCCGTTGATGGAATGTCCAAGCCTGACAGGCCGCCGTTATCATCTGTAATAGAAACACTTAATCTTCCCTATCTCGCTCCTTCATATAAAATATTCATTAGCGCGCTTATATTAGCTACGGGCCCGGAATACGAAACGTCCGAACACCCTCGCGACGACACGCATATACAGGCGCTCCCTGTGTGCGCCTCTGACTGTTGCGCGCACAAGATTGTCATCGCACGTATAAAGTAGCGCGACGTATAATAATGCTCTCTAATTTTTTTAAGGAGCATACATAGAATACCGCAGGATTTCCGAGAACCATTAGCGCGTGCGTGCGGCCAGCGTTAGAGAGAGAGAGAGAGAGAGAGAGAGAGAGAGAGAGAGAGAGAGAGAGAGAGAGAGAGCTCGCGGGCCCGCCCGCGGGATGATGTAAACTACGTGCGAGAGTGCGTGGCGAGAGGGGAATTAGAGGTAGGAGGACGGGAGGAGGAAAAAGCGAGGCTAAACATAAATTACCGCGAGAACAATGAGGGCAAGGAACGGTGCAATGAGAGTTGGGCACAAATGTTTCTTTATAGCGAACGAAGCGAGTTTTCGGTGCGAGGAAGTTCGAAGCGTTAAGAATTCGATCTCCTCGAAGGAAATTTCTCCGAAGTAGATTTTAACCGCCGCTCCAGTCAAGTTTGTCGGCGGTGGTGGTGATGAGCGTACGCGCGCGATATGTACGTGTGCTAGTAATTCGAGCGCACTTGCAATAGCGCGCGCATAATAACGATAGTCTTGTAGGAGGAGGAAGAGCAGAGGCTCGAGGTAGGTAGAGGTAGAGGTTGAGGTGGAGGTGGAGGTGGAGGTGGAGGTGGAGGTGGAGGTGGAGGTGGAGGTGGAGGTGGAGGTGGAGGTGGAGGTGGAGGTGGAGGTGGAGGTGGAGGTGGAGGTGGTGGAAGTGCAGGCTTGGATAAGGACGTGCGATCGCGAATTTATGAAACGAAAGGTGGCGCAGGTGCGCCTGCGCGTGCAAAACAATACCATTTTTCGCGAGTGCCGGGGAAAGAACAAACAATGCGCTTTTTTATGACGCCGTCGCTCTCCGGGGAATACGGGCGAGCGAGCGAGCGCGACTCATTGCCGA